TAACGTTGAACATATTTCCATTTCAATTTACTGAATTTTAGCAGGAAGTTATATTTTATATTAATGATTACCTAGTTTTTGCAAAAAATACTACATTGTTTTCACTCATATGAGAAAAGACATTGCTAAGTTCGTGAAAAGTAAACAGCAAAAGATTGGATGGTAAAAATTTTAGTAGATCAAAAGGTCGGGAAGTTAATAACAGTAAAAATGTTTGAAATTTAATTCTAGGGAGGCTTATATGAGAATTGTATAGGATAATCCTGAAGGGTTGTAAATTATGCAGGCGTACGCAGAATTGTAAAAAAGAAAGTTTCCGTGGACGCAGTGTAATAAAGTAAAGTAAGTAAAATTTAATTAATAATAATTTGTGGTTGAAGGAATGAAACAAAAATAATTAGAAAAAAGAAAGCATTGATATTTTGACAGTCCAATAGCGTTTGAAATACTATCTGCAGCAGCAGTAAAGGTAGGTTAAGTTAAGTTCCTGGCAAGCGGGCCATAGTCTAGTCCTCCATTGCAATCTTGTGATCTATTGTGGCTCACTTCTAAAGATATATTTCATTCAACAGGTTAAACTTAATAATAAATAACATTGTTGGCTGAGGTGGTTTTGTCCAGATCCTTCTGCAAAGCTGGATTTTGCCGAAATAGAGAAGCTAGTCCTTTACCCTGTGGGACAGATACATAATATATGTTCTGTTGTTTTCTCGCTCTCTAAACACGGTCGGCCTCTTCGAGCAAGTCCCTTATCCTTGACTGGCAATAATCAGTGAAAGGGTCTACTAGGAGTAGCCTTTCTGATTTCAGCTTTTAGCTCTTTGTTTCAATAGGTCTGCTTTCGAGCGAGTTAATCTTGGTAAGTCTTGCCAAAGCACTCCAAGACAACTTTGGCAGTAGCAGAAGGTATGTCAAGTACTAATTCTAGTCCAATAAAGTTTGAGGCAGCATCTTCCCTAGCTAGAGGGTCTACTGCATTATTTCCCAGAGTCATGCTTTCTTCTTTCCTAAACATATATGAGCTTCCTGACAGTTCCATATCGTTCTTGAATTGCATCTGTAGTATTTAAGGGCTCTCGCTTGTCTGTATCGACTTGTAACTATGTTGCAATCGTTCCAGCATCCATACACGACTCAGTGACATATATTTCTCTCCGAAAGATTGCATTGGTGCTAAGACTTACCGATGGTCCTTGGATTGGGGTTTTGTTACATGCCTTCAATAGGTTAGTTCTATTCCAATCTCATTGTTCTCTTTCCAGGAAAAGAATGTTGATTAATTTTGAGGTAGTTTATATTCAATCGTGTAGGAACGACATCTGGGGTTATCGACGGAATGTCGTGATGTTCTAAATTCTCCAGCAATCTATCATGTCCCATAGTGTTCTGTTTTCTTTAAACATTTAAAGACGTGATAAGTGCATTGCAGTTAACTGTGAGCAGTTGATTGCACTGATTATAGCCAGACATGTTTATCTAGTCAGTAAAGGGTAAATAAAGGGTAATAACTATAAATTTATGACCGATTGGATACAGGATGTAACATAAACGTTCCTAAAATGATTCCTAAGAGTTTCACAATCCTTCAGAGATTGGAAGTGAAATGCAGTTTTTGATCACCTACTCAAGAACGTAAAATTTAAACAAAAAATAACGAGGCGTCGGAATTAGGGGGGATCTCAGACGTTTGACGTATCAAAGAAAAAATACATAATAATGGTGAATGTGTGTTAATTCGTTGCTAAAATTTACAAGTCCAATTATCAGCATCGCCATCTAGGTGACAAATTAAGTACTATGTTCATAAAAACGCACAACATTACAAGCCTATAATCCACTTATTTCATTTATGTAAAAATTGTTATTTACCTTGGTAAGTGTGATGTTATTTGTTTGTTTTACTGTAATATGTTGGATGGTATTGATATTTTAATAAGCAATTTGACTTTCCTTGATTTGTGGAACTATATTTACATTTGCTCCATACAGCGGCCATATAGGGGCAAATGTGATTCGTAGTAATGGGGTAAAAGCATAATAATATATCAAATTTACCACACTTTTTTTTAATGTTCATCATGGTACGTAAATATAAAACAAAAACGTCTACAAATTACGCTAAAGAAGATATTAAACGGGCCAATGAGGAAGCAGAAAGCACAACCATTTATAGGCCTATAAAGATGAATAGTATACCATATGTTAAGCTGTATTTCGTTAGATGAAGTTGTATTTCGTTAGATGAAGGACAATTAGTCATCTATACAATTAGATGAAGAGCACAATTAGATGAAGAGACACAATAAAGAACACTGAAGACACAATGAAGAGACAATATCAATAAACAGACAATGAAGAAAAAATGAAGACTTTGAAGACAATGAAAATACAATTAATGACGAATGAAGAGATAATGAAGACAATGAAGAGACAATGAATGAAGAGAAAATTAATGAAGAGACAATGAATGAAGAGATAACGAATGAGGAGACAATGAAGAGATAATGGAAGAGACACAATGAATAGACTAGCTAATGGATTGTGCTAATGGATTGAGTAAAGCAGAGAAGTGGAGTTATGGCTTCTCAAGGAGAGAGGTTTCTCTAATTGTGGTACAGTTTGTTCAGGATGTCAGAAATGGTATTCCCAGTGAATACTGGTTTTTATGAAGAAGTGAGGAATCTGGAACTTGGAGAAATTAGGCTGGATATTGATCCCAGAGTAGGTGCGTTGTAGGTGCTATCAGTAGGGCATCTTCTGCAGGGTCTGCATATTTTGCACACCTAAATTTCTGGTATCGAAGAATATCGTTTGACTTGTATTTGATAAGATTATTTAGAAAATATTTTTGAATTTGTTCAAATTAGTACAATACCTAAATACAGTAAAAAAAATGAAATAGCACTGCGGGAACTAATTACAATTTTGAATATACTTTTGAAAATACATCATATTCAAAAATTTCCAAAAAGAATATTTTCACAATTTCTATCTGAAATTTGAAAAATTATAATACCTACAGTCATTGCGAACGAAATCAAAAAAGGATGGAGAGGAAAATTCACCCCCCCCCACAGATTTGTTCAAACTTTGAAAACAGCTCAGAATTAATAATCCAGAGATCCAGACACACCAACTAGACCAATTAAGCAAACTGAACCAGGTCCCTATGATGTAGAGCCAACTACTAAAAATGTGTCTTTTGAAGATTTGCTTCTATCTGCAGTCAAAAAAACCCCTCAACCACAACTTCGAAAGTAGAACATGTCCTGGATCATATATTTTGACGTGAGTACAAGCCAGTTAAAAATATTACTAAAAGGAATATTCGATTATCATCTAATAGCAGTGAAGATCATTGTTCTCTAGTTTTGATGCAATCTGCAATCTGACACTGAATAATTCTCAATGTTACAAGATGAAATTGCTGAGAAAAACAGAATGAATGAAGAAAATAAAGAAATACTCTACAAAAAAACTTGTTAAACATTTTGTTGGTAACGTCATAGAGAAAACCGATGATGATTGTTAAATTTACGAGATCATATGAAAATATATTTGGCCAACATGTCTTGATGCAGACACAATAGATGATAAGGAAATTATTAAGATATTACCTGACCCACTGTCGACCGTCGAGGCTCATTTCACTTTCAATGTTGCTTTCAAGGCTACAATTTATAATTGATCTGTGCTAATTTAATAAACACTTTATAAAAATGCGTGCTGTTATGTATGTATTCTTTCATAAAGTATTTTTTCCAAGATGTATGAGATAATTTTGATGTATAGAATAGACGGTAAAATGCATTGTTTTGAAATTTGGGTTATATTCCATATGGATAACTTAATATTTTTAGAAAATTTGAAAGTTACTCCTTTCAAGATATTTAGAAGTTTACCTAATATAAAACTTAACACATTTACCCCACCCCACTTCATTTTAATGCTCGAACGACTCGAACTTACTTACAAACTAGGTAACTACTAAAATTCTGGACGTAAATAATAAAGTAGTGCTGACAATGACAGCAAACGATTCTATTCAGTTTAACTGTTAACTCAGCTTTCAGTAAATGCAAATTTACGCTTAGAATGTTAATTTTAATACCCATAGTTAAGAGAGACATAGAAGCAATGAAATTATAAAAGTTGGCTTCATTGGACATTCAATCTTGGTTACAGAGAACCCCCTGCGATTAAAATTCATTAGATAGTATAAAAGTTTGATATTTTATAGTAGGACTTCGTGCCTTATAGAAACGCTTTTTGCGGTAGGTATTCTATTTAATATATCAAGATTCTGTTTTGCGAAAGTAATATTTTATTCACACGTTGCATACAATATTTTTCCCGCCGATTATTAATTTATTTATTATTTTCACACTAGTGCCTAATTTATTTGCTTTGGCAGCTTTCATCTATTTTAAATATTTTTCCAGCCTTTGATAGACATTTCGATTAGTCACCAAAGTAATTAATAATAATTTCAGATATGACTTGATATGATATAACTTAATGAACAAAATTAATTAAAGCGAATAGTTAATAAATATTATTGTTCTCGGGCTAGTCTCTGTGGAAGCTATGATAATCCCCAGGTAGTGGTATATCCTTAGATTTAGTTACGAATATCGACTGAGGGCGCGGCCCAACTTTGTAGAGTCGCAACTGAAGATGCAGACAGTGAAGAAGAGCGAAACGTTTGGAACTAATGGATGCCACCAGTTATAAAGGCCACTACGCAACGACAATGTCTGCGGATCGTTTCAGTTTAGATGGGCCTTAAAACCTACAACATGAACAGGAATGAACATAAGGGCGGGCCTAGGAGTTCTGGGTCCGCCGCCACAGAGCCTAGCCCGAGAACAACAGTGGCGTGTCAAAGATTCCTAGCTAAGCCTAAGGAAGTACAACGTATAGAAATCACTATAAGTATAAACCTCTTTATAATATTTTAGTCCCGGAATTATAAATAATATGGAAATCGTATATCTCACCTGGTGCTTCTCCATCATATGACAGGTGCGGTACCAATAAGGTCTGGGCATCCACGATAACAATGTTGTCTGAAGAAATACCATGGACACCCTTCAAGGGATCAATTTTCTGTGGGCGAGGGTAGTCAAAGCTTTTTGGTATTTTTACGTCGCCAAAATTCACCTAAAAAAAATAGAATCGGTGCTTTAGATCTGTCAGTAAAATGTAGTGTAGATATAATGTAAATCATAGTGCGAGAAAAATGATTAAATGGAGCAAAGTAGCATATTTTAATGAAAAATAATATTTTCGAGAGAAACTGGAAAAATTTTCTTCAGTTTTCTCAAGATTCTTTTGAAAAACATGAAATTTTGGAATTTTAATTTTAACGTTTTAGGAAATTTAAGGAAATACAATAAAACACTTTTTGAGACCATTTCTGTTTCTGCTATACGAATATGGAATTAGATTTTCGGTGACATTGTATATTTGCAACACCGTTTTCAGTTTTTTCCATTAGATTTGTCATTCTTTTCCGTGCCTAATGGTAGGTATATCGTGTTATACTGTCTGAGTGATGTTTCGTGTCGGAAAAGACATAATCAGTGTAATTTTTCTTCAAATACGTTGTTATTCACGTTTTCTTTACGGTAATGATTCAAATACTTACATGAAATGAGAAATAAAGTTTTAATAATAAAATTACACTACAATAAAAGGTTTTCCAAAAATTTAATAAGAAAAATTTAAGTAAATTATGTTTGAAAAACTAATAATTACCGTTTTTTTGTAACTTTTATTCTAATCTTCGTGAAGATTTTGCTGTGTTCTTCTTTTTGATATATGGAACCTTTTGTACTTTTTTCGAGGATGTTGGTTATTACAAAACGTTTTTTTTTGATATTGGTATTTACATTTAGTTATAATGTAGAATTCAGAAACTTTATTAAAACCCTCAAAGGTCACACTAGTGCGAATTCCCACCACCGTTTTTTTTAACGGCTGGGACTGATCAGGTAGCAGCTACCGAGGGTTCCACCGTGATGATTCCCTTTGTAGCCCAAACAGTCGAGCCGTACCATACCTATCCTCAGTATGTTATTGTCGGCCAAACTAGAGAATCTGAAAAGTCGGTGCGAATTTGCACTAGTGTGGCTTTCGTGTGGGTAAAAGTGTGGCAGAATTTGTATCATATAATCTAGAAATAAAATGAATTGAAATGCAAATTTCCGATTTTTTCACCTCAGTTACGTATCGAATAGACTAGAACATTGTTTATTTAGTTATTGTTAATAATTTTTTAAACACTTTTTTTTCATTAATATTTTAATTGTAACATAAATATTTGTCAATATTTGTGCATAATATTATTTAAATTAATATTTTTATACAAAAGAGTGCAAATTAAACGTCAATTTACAGAAAAGGGCCAAAAATGACAACTTCAAAAACTATGCCTAAATATATGACTATACGCGAGATACCGAGAAAAATCGATATCATTTTAACAATATGGGGTATTTTTTAAACTTTTTTAACTTTTTCTCTAACCATTATTTATTAAAAAAATACGAATTTTAAAAAAGTCATTTTTCGAAAATGTTTTTTTTTTCAATAGCATTTTTTATTAATAAATAATAATTTTTTCAAAACTAACAGTTTTAATGTAAATATGCTGTTTTCATTAACAAACAAAGACGACATAAAGGTTCAAAGTTGGCTAAATCCCAATTCGCACTAGTGTGACCTTTAAGGTAGCCCACCCCAAGTAAGACCTTTGAGGGTTAAATTAACAAAAAAATCACTTAACGAGGCTATGTCTTACATCTGAAACAATATTGCTCTTGTACATTTTATTCTATAACTATAAATTGTACCTATCTCATTTAGATTTTATTCTTTTATTTTTTACTAATTTATGTGGCATTTGAATACGAAATTGTAAAGAAATATATACAACTCACTGAAAATCGAAACCCACAATCAAATAGAAGAGCAAAAGTAGACTTCAGAAACCGTTTTTTATTTTCGTATAAGTTTTCGAATAAATCTTGAAAATCGAAATTTAAAATTTTTTAAAAGTTATTAAAAGAGTAACAAATATAGATTTATCCCGAATAATTATTAATCACTAAATATTGTCTCATGGTTTGTGAGAAAACAATACCATAGCACCTAATTAGAAATACCTGTGTCTTACGTTGTAATATTAAATATAAAATAGAATTCTCCATTTAATTTCTAGTAAATTATATAACTGCCAGTCAAATAATTAAATATCCAATTATAGTATTCGTTAGATATCTAGCGAAGTGTCAAAGTTCAACAGAATGAGTAAGCCGGTTCGGTTTCGTAACAACTCTCGAGAGGTATTCAACATCTCTGAAAAGTTTCCTAAGACAAACTTCTCGAATTTAAATTTGGCGAAAGATTCTCAACTTCGTGCGACTTCATAATCTATATGGTAATAGTCGGATTCGGTTCATTTACAATTTTAATGTTACGTGTCGTTCTTCTACTTAAGAGTTTTTTGGTGTGTGTGAACATCATGATTATTAATTTCAACTATTAACCGTATTCTAGGAAAAATTATGAAAACATGTTGTATAACAGCTATATTATAACGAGTATTAGAAATGGGGTTATTAAAATATAATAAATATTATTTTTGTTTACAAATTATAATTCTATATCGTCGAATTGACGTTTTTGAAATAGTAATTTACATATTTTATTTTAAAATATTGTATTTAAATTTTAAGTCAATTTTCTTTAGATGAAGAACGCAACTAACAGATATATTTGTTTAATTACAACAAACAAAATAGTAATTTCACTTAGTTTTTGGTAAACAGTTCGATAATAATTTTAGATCATTATGAAAGATATGCTGAATTTTTATGTTACGTAAAATGTGCTCTACAATTTATTGGGAAACTATTTGCTTTACTAAAAAATTTAATTTGATAATTTTTTTAAAACTGCACTTAAATCCCTGTATATTCCATCACTGCTTGGCGTAAATCAGTCTCTGAAGTAGAACAGTAAATTGTATTGGTGAATTTATCAGTGTTGCCACTTGTTACCTCTTTAAATCAACTGTTAGAGAGCTACAAAGGAAAATTATTCTTTAAAAACACGAACCTAACTGCATGCGCTTTCAAAGTTACCACGTTTGCATGATTTATTAAATATTAACTACTTGGTAGTAGTATGTAGATAAAATAGCAACATTAGTAGGTAGTTGATTGGACTCATGGCTCATAGTTTTCTATACCATTTATTTCGTAATACATTCCCATGTAAATGGTACAGAAAATCTGTGAGCGGTGGTAGATGCATCAACTACACTGGAAAACAAATTTCACTAACTTTTATTCAATAATGTATCAATTTCTGTCCACAACCTATTGAGTGACATTTTCACTTAGTATACAACTAAAATTTTATGAGTGAAACTATTGCAACAGAAGCTAGTGAATTTCCTCAAATCCGAGTTTTTGATAACTATCAAGTGAGTGATTTTTGCCTCTACTTTGAGTATGTAAAACTAACTAAGAGTTGACTTTTTCTCTAATATGATTTAAATTAAACTATTATTGACTAATTTTGTACTATAAAAATTTTCAAGGGGGGCGGTGCCTTCATTTCAATAATATCTGGAGTGGTTTTGCACCACTATATATTCTACTGAAATTTTAATTTAAATATCATTATATGAAAATCATAAACTACCCAGAATTGCTACAGTGGTTTCTACACAGATCTGTTTTAGAGACAATATTTTAGGACTCGATTAAAGGAATTGTTTAACTGATCGGACGAATAGATTACCATAACCTATACTGTGCGTTACAAATACATAAGCAAGTATAGGTAACAATTTAACTCTCCGTTTATTTAATCAAATATTAGTCGAGACTCAATATATTATTGTTTTTAATTATTGTAATCATTTAAACACAATGGTCACCAAAATAACCGGATAAACGGATACTTGTCCAGCACTATACGCAATACACCACGCCACGAGATGCCTAATGGAGACGATGGGAATAGACAAAGACAACGCACGACAACCGTAGAATGAGGACATTTACTCCGATTTAGCTGCAAGAGCACCAAATACGAGTTTATCTGCAGAATTTATTTAACAGTGCCTGTATTTGAGTGAAAGTACTTAGTTTTAGTTCAAATATTATCACAAATGAGTAAAATTATCAAAATGCTCAATATTGAGTGAAAATATACTCAATAATTTCACTCACTGCGCATATTTTAGTTTCACTCCCACAGATTTTTTTTTACAGTGTACCATTAGTATTACAACTACACGATTAAAATCAATATAATATTGAATCCATTGAGTGAAATTATGGAGTACATTTTCACTCAATACTGAATTTTGAATTTTGATCATTTTACTCATTTGTGATTAAGTATATTTAAATTAGAACTCAGTACTTTCACTCAAATATAGGTACTCCTTAAATAAATAAATACATAAACTCGTAATTGGTGTACTTGTACCTAAATCAGAGTAAATCTCCTCATTACTGAGTAAGTGTAAATGTATATTAATTTCGAGTAATTTAAATGGCGCCGTGAAGAAGGCACCACTTACATATTGCTTCTGTGCGCCAGAAAAGCGTAATCGCCAGGAGAGCAGGCCTTAGCCGGCGGCGGCGGGTCTCAGCTGGACGGTCTCAGCCAGGACATGAAGAGGCCCCGCGAAGTGAATTAATTTCAACACTGTATATCCTAATTAATCATTTATGAGTGATTTATTTTTGCACTCAATATTTAGTTAATTAAAAACCAAGTCTGAGTAAAAAATTACTCAATAATAGTTAAATTTAAATCATATTAGAGAAAAAGTCAACGTTAAATTGGTTTTATATGTATGTATACTTAGAATAAAGTCAGAAGTCGCTCAATTGATAGTTAGCAGTAACTAACTAACTAACAGATATTAGTAAAACTCGCTCATTTCTGATGCAATAATTTCACTCAGTTGTACTCATACTGATAGAGTGAAAATTTCACTCGATCGGGTGTGGACAAAAATTGATACATTATTGAGTGAAATTAAGTGAAATTTGAGTGAAACCTTTTTACAGTGTAAATACATGATTCGCAATCTAACACATCTACAAATTACAAACGAATTATTAAGGAAATTG